TAAATATAAGCTGAGTTCAATTTATCAATGTTATCAATACTATAAGATCCTTATGCAGTCCACACATACAGATTTCATAATAAAATCAATATAATTTTATCAGTTTTTGATCCTTAATTTCTAGGGGTACATGGGCACCTGTCAGAATGCCTAAGGCCAAGGGTTACAGAGGAACAAAAAGGTTAGGAATCCCTGCTTTATAAGCTACTCTAGACTTGTCACAACAGTGTCTATTTCTTAATTTTCCTATCTGGATTGTTCCACAGTGTATGACACAAGAAAACACTTGACATACTGGACACATGAATTGTTTTTATACTTCAAATTTCATGGCAACCATAGTTGATTTTATTGTACTTCACAGCTTTAAAGTTCACTGTTTTCTAGAAATTTGTTTTTACTACTACACTGTTTATTTCTATTTATGTAATTTTCTTTTAAGGATTCCAGCACACCAACAAAATCATTATAGAGCTTATATACATTTCTCTTGGTAACACAGAATTTAATAGTTTCCAGTTCATAAAGTGCTCAAAAGCTTGTGGTTTCAGTTATTATTTGTCAGGTCTGATTCCAAAATGTTCTTTTATACGCTAGTTCTAAATCTGATTGAAAAATATGTAAATAATTAGCATCTTAACTTTGAGCATAAAACCATAAGTGTAAATGAGATAGGTTTAATGAATAAAGTGGCATGAATTTATTTATATTACTTACAGTGGGAGCCAAAAAAACTAGGACTATTTAAGGGAATGCTCCCATTAAAAATAATTAATTCAGGATCTGCAGTGACAAATGATACATGTAATGATCAGCCAGAAACTGTCATTATAGGACTGTGAAACAAATGATATGGAGAATTTCAAACTATATTTACCAATTAGCCTTTATTTTTCACAGTTCTTCATATATTAATAAACACGCACATGTAAAAAACGTGTATATATATACGTTAATTTTTTTTTCTTATCTAAACGCCTTGAAGATGTCTTTACAGCTTTACCTCCACTTCCCAGAGTGCTTTGGAGCTTGTGGCTGCTGTGGCCGTAGCTCTGGCTGTTGAGCGCAAGAATACATATTGTTTCTTTTTGTATTCATCCATTGTGAGAAACTTTTCTTGTTCTGCATGAAAAAGTCGAACCACATCACCCTGTGACACAAAAATGTTAGGTAAATAAATTGTTAAACTTTTCTACTGACTAACAATGCATAAATTATGTAATATATAAAATATCCTAATGTTATGCACTTCACTGAGTACATACTGTTATGTTACAAAACAAATATGATAAAAATTTATTTACGAGAGCAAATTATTAAGAAATTATCCTTTTTATGTTTTAATTTTTATTCCTCAGAGTTCATCAATTTCAGGGTTTCTTGTAAATAAAAAAAAAGTATAGAAATTACCAAAGGAAAAACAAAACTGAGTTAAAAATGTTGGTGATATATAAAAGTATTCTTCTTCCTAGAACTTGAAAATCTTCTTATATAATAGTTTTGTTTATGCATCTAGGTATTCTATTTCCCATTGTGAAGAAGTAAGTATAAAGCTCAAATAATTGACAATTTATATAGCCTAATGAGAATTATTACAGACTTAAACTTGCAGTTATCACCTAATCATTGTGGTATTGGTCTGTTATCTAATATAAACTAATATTCATGTATTCATAATGATAGTATTACACCGCATATATATATATATATATATATATATATCCATGCATAAACATCTTCCTAAGATACACTGATGTAGTTCTTGTGGTGATTACCACAACCTTTGGCAAATTGTTTATTAGAACAATAGTTCTCACATTCTTATTTGTTTCTTGAAACTACTCTTGGGCTAGCTGCACTAGCCATCCCTAATTTTAAAGTGATAGACTAGAGGGAAGGCAGCTAGTCAACAATCACTCACCATCACCTTTAGTCTTTACCAACAGATAGGAGGATTGACCATCACATTATAATGCACTCAAAGTTGAAAGGATGAGCATGTTCAGTGATAGGATTCAATCCCATAACCCACAGATTGCAAGTCAAGTGTCTATCCAATAAGCCATGCCAGGCCTTCCAGATTCTAAATATAGATCAAAATGAACCACACATTGGAATTCTAAATATTACGTATCAAACTTCATGCCAACTGATTAAGGATATCTTACCCCTTTTAATACATCATCCAGGTTATCTTTATAGTCCAGGAAAAGAGAGATCTTCCAAGATGTACTAGAGTTAACAGCATTAACCTACAAAACAAAACAAGTTTTTAAACACGAACATAAATTATGCAATATTTCAATTCATCTCAATTATTTTGTATTCCATATATATATCTCAAGTTTCTTATGACTTGGGTGTTCATGTGGTAACAAAAATACAAGCAAAACAGCACAAAAAAATACATTTTTAAATGGTCTGCCCAACAACCACTTAGAATTGAACTAGCTGAAATGTACAACTTTATATATTAAAAAAAATTAAATGTATCTTATAACCTATGAACAGAAAGTTAAATCACAATAACAAAAAAAATGACTGATTGGTTAGAAGCTTTTATTGTCCAGAACTTTCCATGACCATTAACCAAGATATTACACAATTAAGTATATGCTATCAGTAAACTATTTTAGCTACTATGACAGAGGTGTGCAACTCAATTTTTTTTGTCAGGGCCAATTTGGAATGTGATTGAGACTTTGCAGGCCATAATATTTCTTCCTCCAAAAAAGTTTTGAGCCCTTTGCATTTTCTGCTAACTCTAAAGACTATTTGACAAAATATCTATTAAATTGTCGTGCAGAAACTCTTAAACTTAATAACAGATAAAAAAACTTATTCCCATAATATTAAAAAACAACAAAAACTTTCAACTTTGTGCACTATAATTTTGTGTCATGGGCCATACAAAATGAGCTGGCAGATCAAATATGGCCCACGAGATGTATGTTGTGCACCTCTGTACTATTACCATTCAACTCAAGAATCTTCCTTTAAAAGACAAGCATACCATTTTATTTTGAATCATAAAAACATCTAGTTTCTTTAATATGCCTTTTTTTTCAACTTAATTTTAAGTTTTTTAACCTTTCCTTATTATATGTACAAAAATATCTTTTGAAAAACCATAAAAAGTTCACTTAAACAAGCTGTTTTATTTCCCATTAATCACCTCTTTACAGCCAGGATTATCTTGTAATTCATGACTACTAGCATGTAGTGGCTGACCAGCATTCACTGGGGTTAGAACAACTTTGTCTCCAACAACAACCTGGAAAAAATTAAAGAAACCAAATATTAAAGAGATAAAATCCACTACACTTGTAAAAGTGATTTTGGAGCTGACAATCATAGTATGGTGGTTTTTCTGTATTTTTAACCATTATGCCAATACGCCAGCAGATCATAAAATCTTATTTTACTGGTATCCAATTTATTTAGTTTTAAAATACATTCATAAACATAACCAACTTTTGCACAGTCTCAGCAAACCCTTAATTTATGCCCCTCAGGATAATTTTCATGATCAAACTACGATAACTAGGGGTCACAGGCAGTGACGAAAAAAAGAGCAGAGGCTGGCACTCAAAAAGACCTAGAAAACAAAAATATAATAACTAAGTGTATATTGCGTATCACTTTTCTAACAGTAATCATACAAATATTTTTTGTAGAGTAACCTACTGTCCTTTGTTTTTCATCTAGCCTCTCAAATTTAAATCGTGCACACACTTTATCCACTGCTCTTAGTGTATTTTAACTGGATATCTGTGACCTTTCATCCTGATATAGAAGTCTTTTGAAATTAATAACAAAATCAATTAAGATTTATCACAGAATTTGCATGAAGTTACTCTTTCTGAATACTTGAATAACAACTTTTTTGTAAATGTTTCTTAGTGTCAGTAAACATTAGATTTAATAGCCAAGATTAATGAATTTTCAGTTTTTACAGTCTTAGAAAGATTGAAGATCACTTAAAAAAAAAGTTATTTAATGACTGATTTTTTTTCTATCTAATGCAATTTCAAGATATCCCTGGGACTGGCTGCATACAGAAGGGTTTCAAAACATTACATCACTAACTTATGCCATTACGGACTGGAAGAAAGACAACGTGAGTGCCTCATGGGGACACTTTGAGCAACAGAAACAACAACACTGCCATATAAACTTAAGAATTTGTTTTGAAGGATACACAATTTCAACTGCAAGTAACACTTAATAAAACATGAAGATTTGTATAATAAATTATATCTGAATTACATTATGTCAGCTATACAAATAATCCTCAGTGCAAAAAAAAAATAAAGCAATTATGAGTTAAGTTTCATTAGCATTTGTCTATTTTAAGTTACTGATCAAAATTTAATGTTTATGTTAAATTTTGCTTACTTTAAATTAGTTACATGATGGGCAGCTCATGGATTAAATACACAGTAGTAGCAAAGGTTGTTTTCTCTCTCTCTTAAGATGGTGGAAATGCATCTCTTGAGATTAATCAGATTAAGTGTAATGTAGTTGAAGATAAACTAAAATGTACACGGAAATGAAGAATATCAGATTTTCAGTTAGATTCTGTTGATTTTTAATGACTGTTTAGGCAGTTTTGTGTGGTATTCTCTTCAAATCAAAAAAAAGTTTTAATTTTGTTCTAATGCTCAATAAAAATATGGTCTGGCGCACAGTTAACTGACTTAAACACGTAGAGGTATCTTCCTCAATACCATCTTCAATATCATATCTTCCTTTTTTTGTGTATAGTGATCAAAATATTATGTATTATTTTCTTAGTTGACAGGTCCTGGTTTATTATATTCTTTTCAAGTCTCAAATAATATTCTCTCTCTCTCCTGCTTTCTATCCAGATCTGAATATTCAGCTGAACTGAGTTTTCATAGTTAGTTTTATTTAAGTCATTTGTAACAAAACACAATATGGCATCCTAATCAGTCAGAACATGAAGTATCATGTAATGAAGGTAGTGGCTGTCACATCAATCACAAAATGAAGTATCATGTAATGGAGGTTGTGACTGTCACATCAATCACAACATGAAGCATCCTGTAATGGAGGTAGTGGCTGTCACATCAATTACAACAAGAAGCATCCTATAATGTAGAAAGTGGCTGTCACATCAATCAGAACATGGAGCATCGTGTAATGGAGGTTGTGGCTGTCACATCAATCAGAACATGAAGCATCATGTAATGGAGGTAGTGGCTGTCACATCAACCAGAACATGGAGCATCGTGTAATGGAGGTTGTGGCTGTCACATCAATCCCAACATGAAGCATCATGTAGTGGAGTATAGCTCAATTTCCAATTGGAATATAATTAGTTTTAGTTTAAATAACAATAAGTTTAAGGTAAAAAAGTAACAAACACATTTTACAGTCTTTTCTATCTAAAGAAAAACTGTAATTGTAAACTCTGTGGGGTACCAGAACTCACACAACACTAGGTACTGAACACATTGTATATTAGTAAGAAAACAATGTTACCTACTAAACTCAAGTAATAGTGTATAAATGTTAAATAAACTTGGAATCAGATTTACATAAATAATTAAGACTTGCTATCTTCCCTTCATCGGTCTAATACACACTTAATTCACTCCAACAGTACACATTTTTCAACATGGTTCTATATCTGGCTTTTTCCAGGTACAAGACAACAAGGCAGGAAATCACATGTTCAACAATATTACTAGTGTCTAAATGTAGAAACTACAAGACAACAAGGCAGGAAATCACATGTTCAGCAATATTACTAGTGTCTAGATGTAGAAACTACAAGACAACAAGGCAGGAAATCACATGTTCAGCAATATTACTAGTGTCTAG